TAAAGATTCGTAAATTTTTGTTTTCATTGTAGAAGATGAATCATCAGTCTTGAAAGCACTATGACAACAATAAGAGCAACAAAAATAACATGTGGCAGCTGCTTTCAAAACTTCAGAAGTTTGAATGTGATCACCTATCAAAAGCAAATAAGAATAATACATTTGTTTTTCAACTTAAACTATTACAAATAATATATCTTACTGGAAACAGTCTTTGTAGTTATCATGTACTTATTAAGATTCTGAATGAGTTTTGGTATTAAGGAAAGAAGTTCCAAATGATATCTACACACAACAGCCACAATTTCCCTGTAAAAGAATTTTCCTGGAACGGTATCCTTGGGATGTTAATAGCTAATTAATGCTAACTTCCCCACAAAAAACCCAAACCCACCAACTACCAAAAAACCCCGCCTCAAAACCAAAACCAATATATTGGTAAAATTCTGAAGCCTAACTTCATGCATAATCCTTAATGTGCCAATGTCTTTCTTTCACTTCCTAATCCAAAATGGTGCACATCAAAATTGAGATAAATGTAAAAATTCTAACACAAATCTGGATGCATAATTTTATAATGACAGTCAAAAGCAAAGAATCTTGAATTTAAAAAGTAACCAAACAATACACAATCTAGCAGTTCAAAAAACTGTATCAAAATGAACAGTCAAAATTTAAGTTCATGCATCTTATTTCTGATTTAGAGGGATAATTCTTTTAGATTTTCCTTAACTTGCCTAAATTGTCGTAGATGGCTGAACAGCAGATAGGTGTTTTGATGTGTGAACAGGATTTGAGAACTGTGTGGAAACTATAGCACAATTGATGAGTGCACAGACTGTAAACTCATTTTCCTGAATATGACTTTTAATTTAGAGTTAGACACGTGAGTAAAGTACTTGAAAACTTGTAACAATGTTCAGCAACTTTCAGATGACTATCAAGTGGCCTAATTTTGTAATAACATTAGAAAAAAAAATTTACACTGCAAGACTATTTGCTGTAGCACTTAATACTAAATTTATATGCCTCTATAATTTACTTCACTTATGGCTGTCTCATATTAATATTCATTGTAAAAGTCCTCTTCTAATATTACTTGATTTGACAGGAAAGCATTAGCTATGACAAATGCTTTATAATGTGCTCAGACAATATTAATACAAGCAGAATTTCTGATAATTGCTGTTCCTTAAATACAAAGATTTTCTTTTTAATTTGAATTTACTTTTCCTTTCTTCTTCCAACCTTTCACTAACACAAGTTTTCATAACTATATGTCAGTCAGAATCATTCCTAAGCTCAGCTTGGAGTGCAAGACCGTGTGAAAAACTGAACCAAATCAGTTCTTTTAGCAATTTTAAGGTACAAAAATTGTTATGATATTATTTATCATAATGGATGTTTTAAGTAAAAGAAAATATTTTTCCTTAGCTATTTTATGTAACAGTAAACAAATTCTTCCTCCTTAGGAGATGACTTGTTCATGGAAGTTCCTTATCCACATGTAATCTAAGATAACAATCAGAATGTTTACAAGCATAAAGTAGAATAAACCAGGCTGCCACGTTTACTACTGCTCTACAGAGTTCTTACCTGCAGAGAAATAAGGCCTGAAGTTTCAGAGGCTACATAAGTAATGTACTACCACAATTTACATTCAAATATTCCAACATAAATAGATAATAAAATTAGCCTGTAAGGTCATAGAGCCAAGATAACCATTCTAAAAAAAAAAAAATAAATTACAGCACCCTGATGTACACCGGGTAGAATCCATGACTCAGCATTTATCAGAAATTATATCACAATCATAGTTCAGCTTCATAAATATGTTAATTCACTCAGAAAAAAATGCTGAAAAATGAGTTGCTGTAGAATAGTACTACCAGTCTTTTTTTCTATAATAGCTATGAGTCTACCTTGTCCTTAGGCAGAATTGCCAAAAATTTATACCAAGCACAGTAGAATCAACTCTCGATTTCTTGTGTTTTCTAAGACATTATTATGACATTTTTTTATAGTCTGAGAAGCCAGAATTGTCCACATAAATATTTGTCATGCTCATATATAAAAAGAGGCATAGTCTGCGGCTCTACTTTCTACAAAACCAAATGCCAAGTCATCTTCACAAGAAATATTCAGGGAAAATGTTTCTCTTTCCTGATATCAATGGCAAATAGATAATTAATTCAAGCAGTAAGTCTGTTTACCTATAGTACAGAAGGCATACCTATTGTAGGAGTAATATGTTCATGGTGCAAAGCAAAGCTCATTGAGAACCTCATGAAAATTTACACATATGGACTGAATAGAGGAAAACAGAGAGGTTTTTTATCATCATTTTAAAGCAGATAATTCATTTTGCAACCCTCTCCCACCTCAGTTATGTTCTTTGTATAAACGTTGCCACTGTTGGGATCTCTATGCAGACAGAAATGCCTATAGCTTGACAGAGGATGTGGCACAAAACAAGAGCCCCAAATCCATTTTTGACTAGAATCCATTGAGGAATGTACAAAAAAGAGAAATATAAATACCAGACAGACAGGCAGTTAATGTACTCTAGCTAAATCCTGAACTCTTCCTAGGGTTTTTTTGCTGGTTTCTGGGGATCTGAACAACATAGCTACCAAATAGGTAATGTTGCAACTAGCATGACCTAATTCATAGCTGGAGCTTCTGGAATTCCTCCCTCAGTTCCACTGGGTTTTATTCCCATTTTTCCATATGTAAAACTATACCAGCTTTCTGTGTTTTTTTTCTTCTCCTTTGATAATCCTAGTGCCAATCAATATAACTATGACATAACTCATTTGAATTGAAATGGGATAAGCCATGCTATTAGCTTAGGAATTTTTTATTTTATTTATTATTTTTAATTTATTGTTATTATTATGCAACTTATAACACTATATCAACCAGTGATGAATGGTAAATATAAATTTATGCAATGAACACTGGGGAAATTCTCTTTAAACCTCTCCCTGGCTCTTTGCAAAATTTTATCAGTGATAGTCAAAACTTTTAGATGCACTTAAAATACTCATTCCCTTCAGAAGCTTTTGATGAAATAAATTTCAGTAGTAGTTGTTTAAGGATTCTTTTTCAGGGTACTTACTCTGCACATTGACAAAACTTCACAAATAGTCTATAAATAATGCTACTATGATGAGCACTTCAGCACTTCTTTTAAAGTTGGAAACTACATGTTATGATATCATAAGGATGTCTGATCTGGAAAGCAGGCAACTTTTTGGTATAATTGAAGTGGGAAAACAATAAAAGAAACTGTACATGACTGCATTGCTAATAACATCCTGTGTTTCTCTATCAGAATAATTCATTTCCTTAGAGACCCAGAAGAAGAATCTTTGATAGATCACACTGTTGCTTCACTAGCCTGTAGCTAAGCCAGGGTAAAGAAGTATTCCAAATAATAACTGTTATTTAAATTATAGAATCATAGAATGGTTGGATTGGAAGGGCTCTTAAAGATCATCTAGATCCAACCCCACCACTATGGGTTATTATTTCTCATATGAAAATTTCTTTCTGAGTAAAAAAACCCCAATATATTGGCAAAGCAGAGCTTTTTCATGAAAACACTATTGTTCATATCTGAAGGAAGAATTTGGGATATCAGTTTCATTATTCTGACATCAGTCAACCATTCACTACCACACAGATGCATCTTCTTTCCCCATCTACACTGTAAAACTTCAAACCAAATTCAATTTCTGTAAGCTTCTTGGGTGATGATCACACTGAGGTTAAATTAAATTAAGAAATGTCTTAAACTGTCTGTGAAATGAATAGGTCAGTCTCCTCAGGCTTCTTCCGGTCAATTTATTAACTTTATTGCCAATACTTCAAATACTACATTTCAGTACTTCAGATATTTAGGTCAGATGCTCAAAAATCCATTTAAATAAAATAAATAATAATGAATTCTTCAGAGCAGGTGTTGAAGCAGTTAGTAATATATTTGGTTAACTATGAATAATAAAAATAAATGTCTTTGCTCAGTTCACATAATCAGAGATATATTAAAAAAACCAAACCAAACTAAACCAGACCAAAACCAACAAAAAATCAAAACACATCAAATGTACAGAGCTTCCATCCTTTGATAAGATATCAAATCCTGTCCCTTGCTTCAGACACTGCCCAAGTATACAGTAATGACCTCGAAAAAGATGAACATGTTCTTCAAAGTGATTCTGAAGGACTCAGTAGGCAGAAAGGAGGGCTCGGTCACTGGAAAGCACTCCCTGCCAACCATAAAGCAAGTGTACACACAATAGCTGCCGCTCAGACTATGATGACACACTGCTAAAGGAAGATAAATGAACTCCCAAATATGTAAGGCTGGAAATGTCAGCAATATATCTCATGACTTCCATAATGACAGGTACCTTGACTCAATACAGTGTCCTGTCTACAGCACATGAGGAGGAGAAAAATACTAAGTTGTAAGTAGCACAGCTGCATGCAAGTGCAGAGAAGAGACAAATTGTTCTTTCCAATTCTCTGGTTTGGGTTTTGGGTTTGTTTGAGTTGTTTTTTGGGATTGGCTGTTTGTTTGTTGGTTGGTTGGATTTTTTTGTTTGTTTTTGCATAAACAGCAGTCAGTAATTAACTGTAGTAGTACAGGTAGAGGCTGAGGATAATGCAAAATGAATGAACCGGATTAGTATCCACAACACCTAGATTATTTTTTTTTATCTGCATCTTTGTGTTTCCCCTGAGTATTCCTGTTTCAAAGGTCTACTTTGAAGTGTCCTAAAAAGTGAAGTTTTGCATTTCTAAAAATCTCTTTAAAGTAGTAGAAAGAATATTACCTGAAGGAAACAATGAGACAGATTCCCAGTTACAGATGGTTCTTCGAGACTATTACTGATCAACAAAAATGTAGCAGTTGACAATCACACCGCTAGTGCTAATTAGTAGGAGTGGGCTAATTCAAAATCCCATTAATTTTCTTTCTTTCTTTACAGTGAGCTAGGAATTGTGAAAAGCTTAAACCAAAATGACAGTAGCTGACAGTCATGAAGCAAGCTTCACAGTTGTGATAGAAGACAACCAAGGACCTTGACTTGGAGCTAGACAGATAATTGGATAATTAAAAGGCAATCCAGTAACAACTTGGCATTTGTGAACAGCCGTCACAGTGGACAGCATGAAGAATCCCCTGGCACAGGAAAAACAGAATGAAAATCTCAAACTTTTGCACAGTGAAACAAATGTTAAAAGTGAAAAATTATCAACAATAAAAGAGTGATGATTAAAGGCTTAAATTTGCAGTAGCAGGCTTGGAAATTTTCCATTAAATTTACCCAAACACACTAGTTAAGTAACTATATATAAGTAAATATATTCAGACAGATGGTTGTTTACCTTTTAAATAATTCAGCTAACCTTAAATGGGTACCTTGAATTTGAATCCAGAAAGTATTCAAATATCTGCTAAAAACATGAAAAAGAGATGGAGCCCCTGTGCAAGTGGAGGTTGGTGCTCCAAATCTGATGTGGTAGTGGTTTTGTCAGTGTGAACTTTACATCTACTCCATTAGTTTCCGTAGTGTTCTTCTGTTCATCACAGGCATAATTCATCTTCTCCACTCAGTAGTGTGGTTACCACTCTCACTGAAGCAGGAGCTGCAGGACCCATGACACAACATGTACCTCAGCCTGGCAAACTAGAGTAGGAAAAAAGCAGCAGGAATGAAAGCCCTTTTATTTCCTCTCTTCATCTTGGTAAATCAGCATCTGACCATCCAGATATCATGCAGGAATTTATCTACATTTAAGCAAAAACATCTACCTGACTTGCAAGGGATCAGTTTTGTAGACAAATTGTGTATGAATTTTCATGAGGGGAGCATCAGTCATCAGTTTATAGCCACAAAGGCAATTGTTATCGGGTTAAAAGTTCCCAAATCTTAGCAGTTTGAAATAGAAGAACTCATTCACAGTTTGGTTCCTGCAAGCCATGCTGCTGATTTTGTTCAGAAGCATTCCCCAAGTAGCACACTCGCCAGGGCTGTGAGCATTGTCTCTCCCATGCACACACACACACTAAAAGTGTCCCCTCTACTGAAGTATCAAGTCTCTGCTGAAGTTCACTTACACTAGTCATACTCTGAGAGGGAGATAGCACACTAATCCTTCTCCAAACCATTGCCCTTGCCCTGTGCCTATTGGTATAACAGGGATCTAGAAGATATGAAGCACGTGCAGGAAAAGCATAACAAGGTTGTTTGGTAATATCTGTCACGTATTTCAAGCTCCCTATGTACTACCATCAATAGCTGCTGATATTTTCCAGTACCTGAAAGGAAGAAAAAAGTGAAGCATCTTTCCCTACTGGGAAATATTGGTTTATTAAGGGCAACTACTTCAAGTAAATTCAACTAGATAGCTGTAGTGGGTAATCGGTTGATGCAACTTTCAGAAGGATCTGCTAAGACGATGCTAGAAACTTGCAGCTATTAAATCAGCAGAGCAGAAAATGAACCAGAAACAGTAAAAAGTAAAATGTAGCAAAGGAAGGGATTAAAACTTCATGGCAGCAGTCTCAGGACTCCTCTGATAAGGTGAATGAACTAAAAAGTTCATTTCAGTGCTCTAATGTAAGAAAATGGTTATTTGCCAGCAGATGTGAGATCATTTGAAAAGTATGATAAAAAAGTCTGATTTTTTTAATTTGCATTCTCTCTAATACTTATCTGGAAATATGAGTTAATGTACCTACCTATGCTTTGATCAGTGCAGATCTACTGGATTAAATAAATAAATCCTTCTGAATCTTCCAAAATGATTAATATAAGTCTTAAAACTAATCAGAGGTGGAATAAGGAAGTAGAACAAGGAAGGGGAAGTAGTACTAAATTCTGATTGAAAGAAGTAATAAGAATGCTTGACAGTATACAGTTTGTGAATTAAAACAGATTTAATTCTCATTTAATTTAAATTCTAGTAATGACAGAAAAAGAAATACTAAAGCAGGTGTAATTATAGAAAGAAATTAGTCTTCCCGAGAAATAAAATATTTTCAATTTTCTGAGTCAATTTTTTGACATAATTAAGGACACTGAGACAGGATAAAGCTTTTCACCATAAAGTTTTTGTCTATCCAGACAAACCTACACCAGCAACTATAATTATCTAAGGTTTAATTTAATCAAGCTCTATTTATTTGTCCTGTTCTGTACAAAACACAGAAAGATAAAGTCTTATTACCTAGGTAGGACATACTTCAAGAATCAGTTATTGAGCTTTCAAAACACATGTTGTTTGACTGAAGTAAAATAAATTGGTCTCATATTTCAATTTAAGTTTAATAATATTTGCCACTTGGAGGACTTCATTACAGAATATCTCAAATGTATAATACACAAGATCTGCATTCTCCAAGCAATAAAAACTTTTTTTTGGGGAGGAGTCAGGAAGACAAATTATTAATTTGAAGGCAGAAGAAGTACGCATGTCCACAGTTTATTCTGACATAAACCAGAACATTTTCGAGATGACTTCCATTATTAATTTCTGAGTCAAACCTAATAGCTTTGGTCGAATGAATCTGGAATTTCACATGAGATTTTGTATATCTTATAATCCCTTTCAGTACTAAGAACTTTGGTGTTGATTGTGGAATATTTTCCATTTCAGTCTTTTGTAATGCCACATCTTCCAAATACTAGGAGTTGTTTTCCTATTAGATTGTTGTTTTCATGCAAATTTTTATAGACTGTAATCAAAATAGTGTTTACATTCTTTTTGATAAAGTAAATACTCAAGTTGAATGGATCTATCGCATTAGGTCTTTCAATATTAGGTCTTATTTCATTCTTAAGTAATTGTTTTAGAACTTCCTTAAGTTTCCATTTGATGACATTCTTTGAATAAAGAAATAAAAATAATATATTTCATTTACAGTAATAAGATAAACCAAAATCCTTACATCCTTCCATCATTCTCAAAGAAGGTTGTTTCACAAGGCTTTCTGGAAGCATCACTATACCAGTGGTTCCTGTGTAGCAGATATTTAGCCCTGTACTCCCAAGCTGACCTTATCTTTACATCAAATCCCCCAACTTTTCAATAAATTCCATATGGGTCTTTTCTATATTAAAAACATTTGATGCACTGGATCTATAGCTCATCTTTATTACTTGCTCAGAACTCTTAATTTTTATGCCAAAGACTTTATAGTTGCAGGTACCAGATGATGGAAAATTATATTAGAATTAAAACCTTATCCAAAAGGATTTTACTGGAATATTTCTACACCAATTTGTACCTCAAGATTGCATTCCAAGGCTTATAATTAGCAGGCTTAAAGCTACTTAATGTGTTCCATTTTCATTCTGCAGCATTCTGGTATCTTAGTTAATTTTGAACCTCTGCACGTTCTAGAGCCATGCAAACACAAAACATCAGGATGCTTATGCTTTGTCAATCAAATATTTAACCTCATAAAAACAATTTTAGGCAGGGAAGTCTAACTTTCTATCAATTTTTATTCATTATCATTATATAATTGATCTCATTTACTTCAGTACTCTAGTACTCTGCCAGCTGCTGCTTTAGTTTTCACAAGATTAGTGTCAGGTTAATAGACCTATAAGTACTTGACTCATCCTGTTTACTTTTTGTGAATATTGACACAACGTTAACTTTTTTCTAGCTCTCTGGATTTTCTACAGTGTCAACAATGAAGAGAAAAACATAACAGTTATCCAGAACACTCTTTATCTGCTTCTTTTAAAACTTTCTTATGCAAGATTCTTGATCTGTTTCCTAATTTAGCACTTGTAGTTAAATACATTTAATCTTGCCATTAGCATGGAAAACATTTAAACATCAACGTTATCATCAAGTTTACATGAGTAAACTGGTTTCTTCCCTTCTCAGATTAAATCTATTAAGACAGTTCCTTGGTTCCTGTTACTCTTAAAAGCACCTAATTTCTAATTTACATAAATTGTTCTAGCTCCTTTGGTACTAATTATGCTATGGACATGCCATAAAACACGAGCTTTAATACCACTGTTTGATATATCACAAAAGAGTATAAAATGCATATAAAATAAAATGAGAAATACACAATAATTCTTCAAAATGTTTGAAACACTATATGAATCTTGAGAATAAGAGACTCTGAACATATCTATTCTGAAGTTATAGGTGTGGCCTGCTCAAACTACCTTCAAGCAAGCCATTTAGTATGTGGGAAACTGCATTAAGTCTAAGAAGCATAGAATTCAGGTGCATGAAGACAATTTCCTCCTCAAACAGATATTGCTTTGTCTCAAGATAATTTGATGTTTGCTGCTGCTGAATATACCTTACAAAACCTAAGCTTAGCTTAAACTTAGCTTAGGCTTATTTAGATGAATTGCAACTGCAATGCTAGTAAACCTCAAAACAACTACATGTTAGATGGATTTTTGTATTTTCCCATATATCCACTAATTCAAAACACAATACTTTTTTTCTTTAGGGGTAAGTAGGGGAACAATGGCAGGAACTGAGAAAGTCTTTGGTCCTGTCTGATACTTCAGTTTGTTAAATCTTTGATGGGAACCAAATATAAAATGAATATTTATGAAGTCTAACTCCATTAATACAGTAAGTGGAAGGCATATTCTAGCAAAAGAATGACACACTGGGGAAGAATTTCACCTATAAGACTTCTCTAGCTGAGGAAAGAAATCACTGATCTGCAAAGAATTTCAATACATTACTAAAAGTTGTGGAATACCAAATGGAAGACAGAATAATTACAACCGTTGCAAAGTAGTTTTTAATATTACTCAGTTTTGACCTATTTCTGAAAACACCTACGACGTACACATAGAATACTCTGTCTCTAGAAATAATGATTTCTGCTGTCCTGAGTTTTTGTAACATGAAAGTCAAATGAAATGGTCAATGACTGGGTAAAGCAGATTCCCCTGTGTTTATTAATAGAACTATTTCAGCTATGGCTGTCTTTAGATCTCTCTGAATGGTGCTCTAAGGGCATCATACAGCAATGGCTCCAACATTTAGCACAGTACATTTACTCATATTCTCAACCACACTCCTCACCTTTCTTGATTTAGGGATGGCAAGGATGTGACACGAAAACACAAAAGAAAATAACCTAAGCGAGCTATAAAGCATCTTTGGAGATGAGGTTGGTTTTAGCTTAGAAATGTCCCCCACAAAAGAAGACCAATCCTCAGTAGATAACAGACTACTTCCGTTTTTCAATATGATGTCGCCTTGAAAAAAGATGGATCACTTAAATGAAGACCTACCTACTCTTTTGTTGCCCTCGAAACAGACACTTTTCATTTGAAAAATTCCATACTTGCAAAATCTGACCATCTCTCTGAGAGCATTGGATCTGCTCCATTCTAAATTAGTCCATAAACTATTACTCCACAGTAACATGTTTCTGAATCAATAAAAACTTGAAAGAAGATCTAGGACTGCAATGCTATGATTATTTTGCAATCCATATGGCTACAACTGCGGTGCCTTCAGACCTGTCCTACTAGCTAGTGTCAATGCCATTGCCTACATAACAACATAACAACAAAATGTAGTGCTTGATTTAGAGCAATACTGATGAATAACTGATAAACACACACCTAATAAAAAGAATATTACTCCCAAGATTTCTAGTTGTTACCACTATGGGCATGCTGACATTTCCCTGACATACTATGAAAGACTCAATATTTCAACAGAAAAGTCTTTTCAGACCTATGAACAACACTATTGCTGGTATTGGACTTTTCATACTGGTTCAATAGGCTGATACAAATGTTGTGACTGACAGTGGTTTCTATCTGCAGGATTATTCAAGCATAAAATTGTTGTCAAGGCAGCCAGACCCACAAAAAAATACATGGTGTTCATATGATGGAGCTCTCAGCATACATAGAT